ATATGTGTGTGAGTATTTTATATTTGAGGTACATACTAGCCTATAGGGATAAATAAATATTAAGTCATTTTGATTCCGAGGCCCCTTCGATATAATGGCCGCATGTATAGAACTTGTACACTTCCTCTCCTTGTAATCATGTAAAATAGTTACAATACTAACGAGAAGCAAAATTCGAAATCACCCGACTTAAACGTGCCATCGGTCTGATTGATCACTGTTGCTACCTGCAAAGTTACCAATTAAATAGACCTTTAGTGTCTTTAACCTTCGTCACTAACACAGATCCATTTTACTTCAAACATTTGGTATTTACTATATCCAGTTTTGATTCGATCGAGTCAGACGCTCAATCGGGGCGGCTTTCATAGGTACAGGTAGATATGAGAAAAAAACCGGCGATTTCGGAATCAAAACTATATCAGAGATTTCAGCTATTAGAACGATGTCGGCGCTATTAGCAGAAACATAATTAAAAATCACCATTATTAATGAATGGATTATACCTGCCGCCTGAAGTGAGGTTTGCCTGACGGAATTACTGCTATCATCTAGAACTAGTTATGATCAACAACAGCTGCTGTTATATAACATTGTTGTTACATGCAGATCGTGCAATCAGTAGATGATTAGAAGTTGCACGATTAGTTGGCGCAGGTGATGATGACCGCGCATGCCGCGAAGTCAATCGAACGGGATGACCTGCAGACGTTCGACCCTGCTGACATCAATGAAGAAGAAAACTCTAAAAAACTTGCCAGCCTATCTTACGGACCACATTCTGGGCTGTGGTGAAATTTGTCCTTTTTACACAGACCTTGACCGTACACTAACAGATTACGTTTTATAAAAGCAAACACCGAACACGAATAGGTAAACAAAAATGATAATGGACATTTATAATCAGCCTGCTAGGGCCAAATTTAATAGGCTAGCTAAAAGGCCATTGGCCAAAGTCGTTGTAATTCTCTATATCGAACTTCAGCTTTGCTCGTTAAAAAGAGATTACGAGTATCTGTGAATTACTGTTTGAATAAACGATGCTCTCGCACATTCACACACGTTAACAGCAAAGCTAAACATGCTCCGCTTTAGCCAGTCAGAATTCAACTGATCTACACAATGGCTTGTAGGATTTCTATGTTTTCATATTTGAACTATTCCGTGTTATAACGAACGTACGAACTTCAACGTATGCATTTCTTGCTTGGACGATTTCATGCAAATTGGCACAAGTAAGCATTCGAAAAAACCGTTTGTAGGACCGTCATACGATAACTGGGCCGGATAGAGCTATTTGAAAATATCAATGCGCAAGCGCAGTTTCTAAGCTTCGGGGTCCCTCTGGCAGATCGGCTTCCAGTAGCATTAACATCAGTGATCCGACATGAGAAACTATCGCTATTTCGAATCAAGGAAAAACTTTGAAGTTGATTATATTCGTCGACTCTCTAAGCGGAATTAATGAATTGATAATCTTTAACTTAGGACCCAGTATTCCACTTCGAAACCAAAATGTACGTATATACCTATCGTTTTGTTATTGTATTTGTCCAACGCAGACAGCTGATGGGCTTAACTCGATTTTTGATCGACAAATCATCAATTAGTAGTGAGAAACAGTAATAATATCAACTGTTCCACTTGTCAGTCCGCTACTTTTGCACGTTTTAGCAGATTTCACTCAAAATAACACTACTTCACTAAGGTCCGAGTGGTGTACTAACTCCTAGGTGATATGAAAGCAATCACTGATAGATCCAGTGCAGCCATCCGGCATGTCAAAGACTGGGTTAATATGGATATTTTGTTTCCGTCTGTATTAGGTGGATTACCTTTTATTGACGTTCAACAAACTTCGTGTCATAACAAACACGTGTAAATCACATAACACATAATCAAACAACTGTTACAGTAACTAGGAACTGACCGTCAATTGCCCTCCTAGGTAGACAATTTCTCTGGATTGCTAGGAGGCATTTTGTGACACTTATCTGGGCTGTCTCCAGAAAAGACTTCTGAGGCAGCAGAGTAACTACATCAGTAGGTCCTATACCATTTTCACTTATTAAAGTTAATAGGATGAGTAACAGTCATTGCCACGTGGGTACTTAATAGGTATTGTTATTTTAAACGTGTTAATTTTAAGCTTCAGCATTTGTAGAGGCTGTTGCTATCGTAACATTTAAAAAATGACGCATTGCGTTCGATTGAAGGGGAATCCCCCCACGAAAATGGAAGCACAGACACAGAGAAACACTGCTCCTGGCAGCGTTCGCTTGCCATGACATCATGTGGGAGCATACCATTTTTATGGTTCATGATAACAATCATGTCATAAATGGTTTGCAAAGAGTACGGGCGTTAGCATTCAAATTAAATTATAACATGTTTGTTTAGCCCTCGCGTGGCAAGATAGCCGTCACTCGTGGCGTACACTGGCCCACTACTTTAGCTACCGCTCATGCGAAACTCCAAGCCATTGCTTCAAGTAAACAGTAACATCTTCCCGTTTACGAAGTCTGCTAATAAAAATTAATTGTTTACAAACAAACAATTTTGAACTTAAGCAATAGTAGTTAATTATTATTAACTTCAAATGTTGACAAAAAGTGATACATATATAAGCTATCTCACAATGAGAAATATAAAAAAAAAACACAACCTGCGCGGATAAAGAAGGTTAAATCTTCCTAAAAAATTCCGTAAACTAGGCTAATTAATTGTTGAAAATCTGCTTTTAGCGTTGTATCCAGAAACAAACCCTGTTTTAACCGTTCGCGATGACACCATAGAAAGATGTTACGTCACAAGAGCCGACAGGGGCACCTGTCCTGACTGAATAACGTCCCGCATAACAATCAACACCTATTTGACAATGCAGCAAAACGTTTCTGTTCGCTAATGTCTTTGCTTGTGTAGAAATTCTCCATTTCTAAGCTGCCACCTTTTTTTTTTTTCGTGCGGGCTGAAACTACTCAATACCTGTAATCCCTCGTTGGAAAATCATACGTATGGTATAGTGCGGATTAATTGTCAATGTATTACGAGACGAGCGAGTAGACACATTTCGGCTTGTCGCCAAATAATACTTCAGGATACGAATGGATACATACAAAAGTAAGCTAAGCAACGCATTGGACTCAGTGCTATATTGATGCCGTGTCACCTCAATCGATTATAGCAGAACGGTCAATCAGCCAACTTAGCGGTTTCGAAGGCTGGGTAGCAGCAAGGAATTGGACATCCGAGCTTCGAGTCTCTAACACAACTGACGTATGTCCGTACTTATTGTACGTAGTATTTGAGCAGTACAAATGTTTACACGTCAAGACTACAGGATGACCACGGCTACTAAGCTACAGGAATGGACTTTCTGGAGATCAAGCAAAAACTGTTTACATATGTTGAGCGTAGCCCCCTCCCCCTCCCCCCAGAAAAAGCCACACACCCCACACATTGTCCATATAATTTCACTTCCTTCGTTGTGCATTATTTACATCATGTCATTAAACATATCATGCTTAATATGTTATAAGTTTTCTGCATAATTGCCCGCTAACTTTTACTCCTTTTATTATTTATCTGACCATTTGTATATGGTTCATAGACAACTATGAACAAAATTACTTCGGTGTGTCGATCATAACGTTGCAACGCGAAAAAAAACCATTCGGTTTTTATTGCTTCATGTAATCCTTGCGTGTTGTTAGCTTTGATAATGCCAAGCGCATCAATTAAACTGTATTATCTAAATTCACAGACCACACGCTCATTTCATTACATTACAAAGTGAGCAATTATAGGTCAAGAATTGGCTTAGGGTTGACAAGCGAGCGTCTACCAAAATGGTCTAATGTGTTAAATGTGCGAGTGGCGCTTTCTCTTAAATGGAACTCGATTCAAAATTGCGCGCTTCTGCTACGCGCTCTTGTGTGAGTTATGTCGCTCGATATTAGCGATAATACGTTACCTTTACCATTTGATTTTCTGAGGTGCTACGACGACACATTCATTAAATTCTAGCTTTTACAAGAGAGAATTTAATAGTGAGTACTCTTAATTTACAGCTAAAAGCAAAGGAACCGTTTGATCACTCGACTGAATGATATTTAGGATGATAAAGTGTGTGTTCTTGATATGAAATTTCGAGACGTTTACTGTACCCATACGATGGAAGGCTACACAACTGCCTGGCCACGCACGAAGCAGACACAACTGATCTAACCGAAAATAAGCTGCTGTCGTAATTGTAGGCATTCTAAATCTGTGTCAACTTTGGCAATTACTTTTATAAAAAATATACTATTCAAAAGTTTTTCTATTATAGAAATTTCTGGTGGTACGTAAGGAGTAACCCAATTGTTGTGAAGTGCGTTTTAGAGAGCTAACGATACTGGTTACACAAACAAGCAGCCCTTAACGATGATTGTTATTAGGTCGGGTCAGCGAGAAAAGTCGACTAGAAACATTTTAGTAAGTCAACTGAAATTTATTTCTGTATATTATTTCTAAAAAGTGTTACTAAAAAGCAATATTTTTGTAAAATTTTCTGCGTTTCAATTTTTTATAACCGGGGATTTAGGTCTGATTTTCCACCTAATATTGCAATTTGGAAACGAGGCGTGTATAGTGCTTCAATCTAGCTCACAGAAGCTATGCAAGCACATTTATTAGAGAATGAAGTTCATTTAGAGAATAGACACCGAAAACAGTCATTTAGAATCAGCTCAGACATTCATCTGAGAGTTTATTTGGAGAGATGGATATAAATGCATCTTATATACATATAATTTGTTAAAAGGTAGAGCAATTTAATTTGATTGGTGTGCCGTGTTGTGTGAAGTGAGGATATTAAGTTTTCTAACAATCGCTCCGATCCTAACACAAAATGTAGCAAGAACACAATAAGTTCAGAGATAAAGAGTAGTGCTTCTTACCGCAAACAAATTAACTTTTTTCTTGACTCATTGTTTATGCCAACTTGTAATTATGGGCATAAAACTTAAACGCGAAAATCTGTGCGACGTCATCTACTGATAACTTCTAAAAAAAGTTATTAGCGAAAATCTCTAACAAAAATAAACCGAAACTATATCTGCGATATTGAGCTGTAAATAACTTTAGTACGTAAACAACTATATGTATTGGGGGTAAATCAGCATAATTGAGAAATCTTACTTGTGCATATTGCTGACGTTAGAATCCAACCCGTGTTACGGAGATCCTTTAAGTCAGCCAGAACTGTTTTTTACTTGCTCGGCCATTGAACGTGCTTCTGTTTTAGGGAATATCTTTGGTAGCACACACAGAGTGGCCGGCTAGCCACACATGAATAATGGACTCTAACAGGGTGTACACACACTGTCATTCAACACTTGCTCCGTTGGCATAATCAATGTATTCTTCCTCAATAGCCGAATAGTTTCATAGCGGGTACGCCTGAACTGGCTGAAGACGGGCCTCTAGTCAGAATTTGGAAATTGGCGCCCTTTAGACTGGCATGGCCGCTGCATGAGGCATTAGGAGAGGGTGCATGCGGAAGCAGTCCCAGGGAGCCGCTGTGTCCCCTTTCCCAGCTGAACATAACGTAAGACGTGCGGACTCAGCACGAAACATTCTCTGAACTGATGCTCCTCCCTTCACAACGATTATCGCTGACGGTGAGAGCTCTCTATGAATGGCTGAAAATAGATTTAAAGAAACATGGCTCCCGAACATGGCTTTTCAAACAGGCTGTGCCGTTAAGAGTAAATTACATCATTTTTCCGTGAAGTAACTTACTCATCACACAAAAATTTAACATTCATCGTACTACGTGGAAGTATTTAATATAGGAACTGTACGAGGATAGACCCGTACCGAACTGGAAGAAGTTCTCATCAACGGAAGCAATTTAATCTGAGCAGTTTCTGTAGCACTGGGTAGTTGAAAAGTCAAAAGAAGCTTAAAGAAAAGTCTCACTTTATTGAAAAAAATGCCTTTATCATCTAGATTTCTATTTAAAAATTGCAACTAATGCACAAATGTAAGGTTTTCTTGCAGCCTTGTTCTTGATAGAGAAGAAGACGCATGATTTCACAAACAAATTCTGATCAGGATTTTGCGTAAGGATCGGAGGGATTAATAAGGTTGACACAGGGACAAACACTCCTATAAGCCCAGTGTTAACTTCGCAGCAAATTTACTCGGCTTCTATGTGATGTTGTACAATAGGTTTCCTTCAGGAAGAACCTATTCGTAGCAGTGGACGTGTCCTATCTGATACAATGTTAAACACGCTCTCGAACGAGTTGCCTCTTTTTAGGTCGCCAATAAAGCTAGAATGCTCGTAAATTCTAACATATGAAAATAGTGGAACGAAGCAGTAACCATTCAGGAATGCAATAATCAATTTAATCAAGCTTCTGTCGTACACTATAATATATATCAGCAACATGTTCTATCTATTATTTAAAGGTCAACAATAGGCTCTAATGCAAACAATCAAAGCAATAGCATACACAAGGTTGGTCCCATCGATGAAAAATTTGTATACAAAGTAAAGATTTGCCATGCGACATTTCTCCAGAGCTGACTAATCAGAAAGACTGGCACCATACCAAGGATCTGATGTTAGCTCTGACTAGATAATGGGATGTTAGTGAAGACTGAGCAGTCGTTAACCAGTTGTGGCTTCCCACGATTTTGACGGAAAGCACCAACAACGAAGTGAACGAGAACGCGGGTAAGAATAAAGCGACAAATAAATATAGTAAATATTCTTTAGCGAGCAGAAAATCATTTGGATAACATCGAAGGGCTTAACTCTCGTGGAATCGGGAAGTTATCACAGCCAACGGTTTTTTTTCTGCATTATATTAAACAGATTTCGCGGTTGTGTCAAGTACTGGAACTAAATTATATTCTTTTAACGCAATCGACGGCTCTCACCGATTTCATAGAAATATCGAAATCCTGGTTGCGGTTAGAGAGCTGGCAAAAGTGTGCGTCGTTGATATCGTCTACTGGTTCAGATGTAATACGAAATTTGTTATAAAGCCCATTGTAATGCGTTAGTCTATAGAATTTTCATACATTTTGAATTCAAACCTGTTCATTGATACGAATTGAATACGACAGTTGGGAATACATTGGACAAATGTATGACAGTCTTATGTATATCATATAGAACAAATCATGTTTTGTGTTTACTTTCTCAATTCTAAAATATACGATTGTCAGCGGTGGTTGTGTCAGTCCAAGGAGAATAACGCCATTAATTCTGCCCTTCTACACACAGTTTGTGCCAAAGAAGTCCGCCCTGATATCGGTACATAATCTGGCTAATAGCATACCTTATAGATAAACAATATTTCAAATGTCCTGCTTGAACGTCGGTCTGTGGTTGAAATAAAGCCTCATGCATGCAGGTCAACTAGAGCGTAAAAACGGTATTATTTTTTATAAAACTAGATATACAAATGATTCTGTTTGTAATTTTCTTATACCGGTTAAGAGCTCAGTAGGGTTGGCCACATTATTTCTAGTCAGTTTCTGCGATGTGTCACTGTGACGTGAACGGTTGCCAGTTCAGCATTAAACTGGGTCGTTCGCTTATTCAGGCTACGCATGCTAAGTAAGCTAAGATGATAACCCAGTAAGGCTTGAAGGAGCATATTTAAGAAAACTTTTGTTCTAAGTCTACCTCAGTGCGGCACCAGGTTTGCTTTCGGTAACAGCCCACAAAACCGGTTGTTTACAGTGTATATAGAAGTATTAAAAAATTAGACAATTATTCCATTATACCGTTAAATACTGGCAAAATGAGTTTTACACCTAGTAGTATAATGAAGCGATATAATAAGCAATTATAGGTATCCGAGCAGTCAACCGTCAGACTTGTTATGGGCATATACTCTATTGCATTGTACTAAATAAATGACGTCTTAAATGTTAGTATGTCAATTTCCCGTCTCTACGGCATCCATAACCCTGGAGCACCTTTACGTAACTTGAACCGTTTCAAATATAACTAGATAGAACTATGTTTTTCGTCTACTACTAAAGCGGTTAAGTATTACTCCCGACGGCTGGCTCCCAGCACCAAATAAAGTGTGATTACGCCCGAAGCTAAATTTCGACCACCCCGTGTCCCGAAGTTTGGTAGTTAAACATGCTACCCACTGCTCTATCACGCGAATAAGTAATACATTACAAGTTTATTGGAAACAATCGTTTTTGTGGACACGTTTGATGAACTTCGACCCACTAACGGCAACACCGACAGCACGTTAAATTTTGGCGCTTTTCCATAAAGTAACGCAAAGCTTCTTTTATCTATAGACGTTCATGCGTGCAGCAAGTGTAATTATCCAGCTTTGTTTATTGTATTGCACTTAATATCAATATTTTAATTCTTAGTAATATAAAATTCGGTTAAGAAATAAATACCACAGACTTTGACAATGAGCTTCATTCATTATATATGTAAATGTTCATTAAATAGTGCTGTCCAGTACAGTGGCAGAATGACGAAAAATTTCAGATGCTCGTTCCAGACTCCATTTGGACAGAGGTTCCCAAGGCCTTGTTCATGCACTATGAAGTCGTTTTAAAGAATAACGCCTGGTATTGAAATCCCCTCTCCTTTCCCTCAGAAGGATACCGCACGAGGTAGCATGTCCGAAAATCTCCAAGAAGTGATTTAAGAGGGAAAGGAGCTGGTCGGGAGAGCCGCCGAGCTGCCGCGCTGTGTTAACCGCTTGCACTGTTAACGTTTCGGATCGGAGATCAGACGGATCTCTAGTTATTCAAGGTACTATTACCTTTATGGCGCATACATTTTTCGTCTTAAAAACTAAAAGGTGGAAGCTACAAGCTAAAAAGTGGAACTAAGTTGGGCCTCGACCATAAGCCTGAAGGTTATTTGGATCCTTCGAGCATGTTGCAAGCATAGTTAAACTATTGTGCTTTAGAGAGCAACAAAAAGGCTGTACCGTAGATCGGATAATTTTAATTAGATCTTACGCACAAGCTTCGTTATTTACCATGTCACGTACAGAGGAACTCTGTGGGCGCGCTCCAGAACGCTTGTCTCCTCCCAAATGTCGTTCTGACGTCGTGCTAAACGGTACTATTCAGTAAATGTTTACCTACTGTCGCACTGCCAGCCCAGAAGAGACTTACTAACTCGTTAGTAATTTCTAAACAAAGGCATCATGGCGGGGAACAGCGAAGGAAAGTGTCTGTTAAGCTGCTCTCCGGTTTGCTGATTAAGAAACTGAACAGCTACTTAGAAAGCGTGCACGATATTCCAATGGAGGGACACGGCTTCTGGAAAGAATGTTCGAGAGAAGCGGCATGCGGGATGTTGACTGCCGACGTCCAGAGCGCATTGGTCGTGCGGTATAATCCACTGTACGCGGTATCTATCGATTTCAAAGCAGCCTTCCGTTAGGCGCCTAGGCACAAGACTATGCTGATCGAGGCGGGTAGCTCTATGAGTGTACCTTACGTTCTCGTCCCGCTTCAACAAAAGAACAGAATAATTATCGACGATATGTTGGCCGAACTTTCGCCCTTCACACAAACAACTAATCTGGCTTAGAAGGATAACCTAAGCCCACTTATATTCTCTAGTTTGCTGAAGGGCTTTCCTAATCAAATAAAAAAAAAACCGAAGAAATCAGGGTCATCTGGTATGCAGATTACATATTGATGTACGGTTTGAACGGATTTCAAGTGCAGCAAGCTCCATCCTCCAAGGCAGTGTTGGCCACATGGGCAATCAAATCGCTTGCCTTGTTTGTTCTCAGCTTGTTTATCCTCAAGGTATTTCCGGTCGCGGCGTGTGGCCTACGCGTCATTTAGGAAGATTTCGCAGTGGAGAACTTCGGACGCCTAAATCGCTTTAAAACCCCCTATCCCAAAAGGCTTCTGGAATTGCGAAAAACGACCCCAAATCACCGCGCATACCTCTTAGCCGGCTCGAAACTGCTGTCGGAGAACCTACGTCGTCGCTTCTAGCTACCAGCGGCGGAAGTACTAAGACCAACCTTGATAACTACGAGCAAAAATTTGCGGAGGGCGATGAGGATTTCTTAACTTTCAGTGCAATGAGATACGATAGGTGGAACAGGACGAACCGGCTAAACAGACATGTCGCTTATCACATGAGTTCCACCACAGAATCTAAAAAAAGCAGTGTTTCCACGATCTTGTACCCGATACGCATAGAAGCTCAAGATACTGGGAAAATTCAGATAGATGTAACCGCTTGTTGCCCCTTAGTACATCCTGGTTGCCCATTAAGGTATTTAATAGATCTTTAAAATTAGTTTTAAAAGACTCGTATAAGCCATACGAAGCAAAGTTTTCCGATGTTTCTATACACTCACTTTGATATACTGTTGTCCATTTCTATATGCCAAGCATTTGGTTACTACTAGCAGAGGTGAATAAATTTGATTTAATTTTGTATGTTGAATACACACATTTTCTCATTTATTGGACTTCATTATCGCGATATATACAACTATTCATTATAAGAGCGAATCTTTTTGGCAATCGTTTCGCGCAGGTATTGGGTTGAACTCACTGTAATGATGACTCGCCTTAGCAATGGATTTGTCCTTAATTGACGGGAGCGAGGATTTCTTAAAATGTGTGTCACGACGTGCGGATCACGTCAGATCCCCTGACTTGAGGTAACCCCGTTGGGGTAAAACACGTCGAACTGCAACAGTTCCTCCTCAGTGGTGTAATTCACGTGTTTTAACAAGGAACGTTTCGTTTTAGGACTTCGATTTTTCTGGTACCATACGATATCTGCTCATTCTAATAGACCAGTTGAAAAAATTAGGTACGCTAATGTTTCATTGGAACTGTTTGAAACCTTCGTTGCCTATTGGCGCACCCTTTATTTCCTTATATTAGTTAGTTAAGCTAAGAGCTTGGATAGAACTCATTATAGCGGAAAACTGATCGGGTCGTTCTAAGCCACCTACCAATTGGCAGCTGGGTGACTGAATAATGCTCTGTGTTCCACTAGTAGGACCGAATCATGTATTTTCTGTAAACGTCTCCATACTGAGGATGCGGCATAGCGTCGTCCCAAAACTAAGTAGAGATGTCCATTATCAGGCTGCGCGGCTTCCAAACAACGAGAATATCTATGTGTCCTTACATAGAACTCTAACTGAATTACGACCGTTTTCGACAGTAAAGGTAACCCAGGGACTTTTATCACTATAGTAAAAGTACTTTTATACGTTAATCATATCCGCTATCCCTTGGAACTGATGTTCTTAAATGATCACGTCAGCCGTCCATAACTTTACAATGAATGTGAGTTACTTAACAAAAATTTGCTTATACCATTCAGCCATAGGTTGATGTATTATTAGACGGGTCAAAAGGGCAGAAATATTCTACATCACTATTATATATGTATACGCTAAGCACGAAATAGCGAGGCAATGTACTAAATAATAACCTTACTCTTTATTTGTAAAGAATATATACGTAGACGATGCATAACATCAGTTGATGCAACCAGATTTGTCGTAAAAATAATAATAGTGATGATCATCATCTTAAGAAGCTGGATCTTCGTATCGTAGATACGTATGTCAACAGCGTAAATACAGACAGATTGAACAACGAAACGATTGCATATGTGTTTCCATTAAATAAGTCTAAACGGGTATCGTTTATTGGCATCGGAGCTATTATCGTTGTTTGTTTTCACCAAAAGTATGATAGCATATCTTGAGTATAGAAAATTAGATGATTATACCGCTATCGTTGTTGTGTCGCTAGTGTTCTTATTTAGTTCCTGCCGATTATAACGTCGTCGATTGTCGACGAAGGCTTACCGCGGTCGCTGTTTTCGAACGAGCGGAGAACGCCCTATAATGCACAAAATCTAATATAATAAATGGCTATAATTTTATTGTTGAATAATAGGGACAATTAGTCGTAATATTTTTTTTTCGTTCCTGTTCTATCTGAAGATACACAGCGGCCAAGTAGGAATAGCTTTCTATTGAAATGCGTTGACTGTATCACAGATTCGATACGGCATCGTTGTTAGCGGCTAGCACCAATAAAGAACGGAATCATCGATACTTCGTAAAAGAGATACGTGATTTCTCTCTACGTGTTCGTCTTTGATTTGCTTTTGATGTTCACAGCGGTTCATCATAATTCTATGAAAAACTGGAAGGGAATGAAAACAAAAGGAAAGGTTGCAATATTTTTTTGCTCCATCCATGTACGAAACTGTGATTTCTTTTAGGCGACCGGACCATCTGACGAATTGTGCAAAAAATATATAGATTTATATTAATTAGCCTTTTTTGGTATATTGTTAAATCTAATGCCCATATCAATAATACTGACAAATTATGTGTCAAATAGTTCGCAAGTATAAATTATCTATGCTTACATTATGCGGAGCGTGTCGCACTAAACGTTCGAGTCCCTGTTGCCGTCCGCACAGTGTATTATTATTAGTGCATCTACATCGGTCTCTATGATACCTATTTTTTCTGAAAAATGAAATTTTCGGCTTTTGTAAGGGAGCAGTAAATATTGACTGGGCTACTTCTGTTTCAGTCAGAAATAGCTCAGCAGCAGTCTGATGAATAGCTCACTGTTGTCCGATCTCGAGAATAGATCGGCCTACTTCTGTCGTTAACTATATCTTCATGTTCATTTGAAGATTTTCTATAATACTGGCCAATAATACTGCCTGCATTGCTGTAGACAAGATTGACACCCATGTAGTTTCACACGTCATGATGCCAGTTTGCCATATTCCATAGCTGCTCTGTCGAATTCTACAGTTCATTATGAGAGTCCAGATAGACGCTTCACATATAAGTTTTCTTCCTGCTAGCATTTATTATACAGCATTTCCACATGGACATGTTTTCAAAAAATGTATGTCTCACTGTTTACACTCTCAAACGTGTATCCATGTGTAGAACTCGATGTACTTCCAGAGACCTGTAAGACATCCATTAGCATTCGGTGCAAAATAGTGCGCCCACTTTAGTATTGCTGTGATTAGATACATATAATCTCAGGGCGTTTTTAAGGCTAGGTAAAAAAAAGAAGAAAAAAAACGATCGCTCTGCAAGCTTGCTGGCCATTCTTTCTCGCTCCTGAATTACGCAACGATTTCCGTGACAAATAATTAGTGGATCACATTTGCCTTATATCATTGAATAATATTTGATGTGATAGCTGGCTGTACATAACATTTTTTGTAAATCTACTGACTGTATAACGAAATCCAACTTAGCGCATTTAGTATAGTTGTTTTGCGGTTCCATCTTGCCCTGGACTTACACTGGAAGTATTTTGCAACATCGCTAAACATGGAAAGTAGAAAAATTCCAATCGACGTAAAAGTCAAGTATAAAAGCTTCTTGGGAAGTTTAATTAACTGAAGTGATATTCGACTAGTTAGTCGAAACATCACCGCTTTTTACAACAAGGCAAACTTTGATTATTCCTGTCTCTCAAGTTAGGATTGTATCATCACTGAAGAGAACTGAGAACTTTCTAAAGAATGAAACTTGTCCTGTTCGTCAAACTGCTCGTCCAAGCGACTGAATCACATAGCTAGAAAAATGAAATCATATTCGCAAAATCGACTGCAAAACTTCAACAGGTTTATTGAACTCGGAAGAATCTCTGAAGTAGGAATAAGCGAAACGTCGCAATTGACCATATCAGCTAAACATAGTATAGGAAGACGAACTAGTTCAACATGAGCGACATCGCAGAGAGTAGCTATAATCAATTTTGCGGATGAAGCCAGCCAGCCATCATCAACTCTTACCACAAACCAGCGAGAATACGCTGGCCGACGGCCTTAAAGACGAAACGAACTTAACAAGAGTACACTCGCCAATTGTATTTACGTATACGGCTGTTGCTTTTGGCCAGATCGGACGCGGAAACGTCTTATCGGTAAGCAGCTTATTCGGGTGACAAAAGCATAGGCGAAAGAACTTGCTTCCGGTTTTAATACCGCAGTCATGTACACGGTTTCGGACTCGGTCTATCTTTACCGTAGATAACATGATATAGCACTTTAGTCAGACCCAGAGTTGACTTATTATTTGAACGTACAGAACGACTGACATAAGAGAACGTATAGTTTATTACGACTCCAACAGACAGGCAGACTACACAGCGAGTTTTGATTCGGCTAGATGTTTTTCGGTCGTATGAATAGAATCAACACAAAATACAGAAGTTTCGCAAGGCATGGGCCATTACGAGCAGCACTACTAATATGTACGTCATATGCATCTCTAGACGTCTCGAATTTTCGTGTAACTCTTTCTGGTTTCCTCTATCCAAAGTTTTCTTGAAACGTTCTTCTCTATTAAGCAAAATCAGCTATCTTTATACTTAAACAAGAGCCAACGTGTACTACAAGGACCGTAGTCGAATTCAAACCGAATATAAGTGCGTAAAACGTCTCAATTTTATCAGTTTTCTATCGACATCTTGCAGGTAGACGCATTGCTGTTATTACTGGTGCCGCTATCGTGGTCATCTTCACTGGCTGTTTTATTATCTTCCATTCGTTTCCACGATCGAATTTTATGGCCGAGTATCGAACGCAAGCTTTGAAAAAGCCGGCGTCAGGCGACGGCCAGCCCAACAATCGACGCGCGTCGTAGGAGTTACCTATAAAGTCGGGGAAAGGGGGACCAAGGGCAACCCTTACCACAGTACCACAAACTACGTCTATGCTAACGTTCACGTACAGCCCCCATGTAGTTTGTGTGGGGATAACTAGCAATTACTAATGGCACTTCAATATACGATGGCATGCATCTTATCGATAGATAGGCAGCATGAACGAAAATGTCGAACATCTCGTTAGAATATGCCAATCATCGAAGAAGAGCACATCGAAAACGCGATGCTTCTTGCCACTTCGCGAATCCAATGCTCTTTTGGCTAGTCATGCGGACGCTGCCATTAAGTTGAAAATTATCGACGAATCCTTAGACAAGAAGTTAGCCGTTGGCTATTAATCAGTTCCTACACTTGACTAGGGTGTAGAGTTCATTTCAAACTAAAAGCGCAAATGAGATCTTCGAAATTCGGTTCGATAGACGCACCCTGGGTAAGTAGTGCAGAATAAGAAATTGCCGAAAAGATCAGTATTGACCTTACATTCTATTACTGCGTAATGAGGTGGTGTTTTCAATTGTGGTATATTCGTAAATGTGGGCGCCGTCTGCGATTGTAATCGTTCTTACAGAGCTCAATGCTATAGCCTTGACCTCATACCTAACTTAAAGGCTTTGATGTCTGGTCGGGAGGCTCGATAGCCTAACTCCGCTGATGCTGTGCAACTACAACCTTATGCGTGCAATTTATTTTGGATGCAACAGAGGAAAAGAAAAACAGAATCGTAAGTAAAGTAATTATTGTATACAGATACGATTTCTGTATTTCTTTTGCATGTAAGGTATTACTCTACCTCTGTGTATAGATAGAAAAACTGAAAAGGGGTAAACGACGAGAACCCTTTAGATTGGCTGATGTCAGTCCACGCTACTTAAATCAAAAGCAAGAAAAAACTCTGTGCGACACAAGCGGGACATTGTAAATATATATATCTACATAATTACACTTATTACTACATTACGTAGCTAGAAAACGATACGCGTACATAACGTATAAAAGAAACCGACTAACTCGATGAGAGTTTCACTTTATATGTGTTGTCGCCCCTGCCTCCAAGCGTCACAAACATCTGTGTTTTTCGAGAATGGTTTTTCACTCACCACGTGTGTACATTCAATCTGTATCTAAAGATACTGACTAGTTAATCATCAGTTACTTTCTTGATGAAGCCCTTAGTCGACGCCGTCATCAAGTCGGTCAACAGGCACTAATTAAAACTGTTTTTAACGAGGTGATACATTATGTTCAAGGCGATCATTGGGCAGATAGTGAACTGCACGTTTTTTTCATATAAAACCGGAGTGCGAATCCCAGAAAAAGGTACTCCTCTACCCTCAGTAACTGAGATTTGTTTGATTTGATTGACAACTTCGCTTATTAAGTTATATTAGGGCATATTTTGTACGACACGTCGAAACGCGCTGCAATTTGGTCATAGATCACGCGTTTATATGTAGGTGACTAAGTAAAGTGTGACGGCTTAAAGAAATATTTTTGCTATTTCTCTATTTAGATAATACAGTATATTTTAAAACAGCAGATTATGAAAAATCATCATAATATAACTTGAGTACGTAAACGATCGGTTGAAATCTTTACGCGCAAGTGAAATTACGACATTTTTAAAGACTCTTAGGAATTGTCCCGTTCTATTGTGAAGGATACATTACTAGCTAGACATATAATTGCCGGTAAGGGATGATTTTACGGGTGAATACCGTTCTTAGCGCCAAACTCCACTTGGTTCCCTTTGTCGCTAAGTGATCTTCAGAAAATCATAGACACACTGCGTTTTACCGCGATCCCGTGCATAGGTGATGTACTTCATAGTCGCGTAAATATAACTGCTGTATTCGAATAGACTCGCCCATTGTCGAATTTTATAAATACATACGTTAATAAAAAGTTAAGTAAGTAGTAGTAAGAAATGGTTCATAGAGCTGCGTTGACGGATCTGAAACTCTTTATTTTGTATGTCCTTCGGAGTGGATAGATATATTTGCCTAGCTGGTAGCGACTATTCATTTCTTGATAGAACTCAGTAGGTGACCTGTTTGCCTGCTAATACTAGGACCACATAGCTGTATAGGTTCGAACATACGTATTTAACGCATTTCGTTTAGTCGAAAGTCAACCATCTGGTGGAACAGTTATCAATGCAACAGAATACAATCAGCCATCATAACAATGTTATTATATGACACACAGATGCGTCAAATGTGGGCCAAGAAGCCTTAAGATAACATTAGCCTATGGCCAAAGCCATGTGATTGAATGAATCAACCATGTTATTATAACAGTGAAATAGTTGGTGGCGTGCCGGCAGTAGCGTATACCTAGCTACGTGTCTCTTATGATAGCGTAACTAGTTCAGAAAATGATAATCGATGCTATACCGCAAACCTCTGAAAAGACCAATTCATTACGTACGAGTATCCTGTTAGAGGTATTTTAACCTCGTCAGCGGCAATAAGATTCGGCCTATTGTCTTTCAAAATGATACAACAACATCGAACAATTAACTTCACAAAATGAAGCTAGTTGTCACATGCTGAGCACCATATGGTGACGCTTTCTACAGAAATTACGGATTGGCGGCGGAAGTCGATATCCGAGAATATGCCGAAACTGTTTGACCAATCGAATAGACCCTTAGTAATTGTAATAGAACCAATAGTATACTTTTTTGCCGATATACACTTGGCTTCAGAACGTTAAGATGGTCAGTATGTTGACAGAAAATAGTTGTATGTTTGCATCGTATTTGATTGTAGTACTAGGCCAGACTGGAACCAGCTGCATTTGGCAGACCTCTTTTTTCTGACGAGCTCTGACAATCAGATACCAAGCAAAGCTTTCTGCGCACTTTAGTGACATTGAATTTAGGATCTAGATATTTAGGCCATTGCGTTTCTGAGTTCAGCTACTAACCCGGGAACTATCGAAAGAAGGCTTCATTTTATATGACACTTTCTGTGCGGACAAAATCATGACTGCATTAGAGTAACATACAGTACTCGTGTCGTGCCATTAGGGTCAAATCTAAAGGCGCACCTAAATGTGCAGGCTCATTTCTCCGGATGATGGCAGATGATACATCTACTAAGTAGAGATAAAAAAGAAAAAAAAAGACGACTGTATAGTCGTCCTGGCCGTGACCATTATACGGCTGGTATGATACCTTAGTGGTGACGTTACTCATCATTTTGTGAATTTTTTTCTAGGTAAACGTTAAGATATATTTGGAGCACTATTTGCCAGTGAGTTACTATTATAATTACGGTGGTTAATATTCAAAAATATGAATGATTGTCAATATTGTTCAGTGTCTATGGACTCGTTTCGTTCGTACACGTGCTTTTGCAGGCACTTAGCTGTCTTACCATCGAAATCAAAATGATCGCGGCCTTAAATAGCATGCCTTTGTTAAAAAGCGCTACGCTACATAATAACATCTAGCGGTAAAGTTTTCACAATATAGGTAAAGAATTTCAAATACGGTTTCGCCTCGCAATCAACAAAGGCTGAAGCTTCAGATGGTAAGCTCAATCAGAGCACATGGCGACGAGCCAGTTTCGCTTTTTGTTGTTCATCGACACTCTGTTCGAGCGCCTATGTGCTATCCACCGGGGGACGACGTGTATCTGTCCCGCAACAACTTTCCACGTGGACCTAGTTATCTTACGGACGTAGGAATTAAAAGAAGCCTCCAAGTTGGTAAGTTATTGTATTAACAAACTCCAAACACAATCCTATATGTTATAATGCGTATATATTTATATATTAAAACGACTGTGAGCGCTGTTGGCAAACTTTAAGAAACAGCAAAACCTAACACGAGCATAGTGCAATTCTCTTGTAAGTATATTGGATATTGTCTGTACCTAGCCTTATGCATGAACCTTAGTTCGGCAACGGTGATGGAGCTTTTCAAGCTGCAGTAAGTTATGTAATTCGTAGTTGGCCTACTACAGTCATAACAGCGAATTTGAACCATGATGGAAAACAAGATAAGTATCCTTATTATTCATATCATCTTCAGTTTATAGAAAAAGTCCGAATATATTTGCTATTTATAACGCTTCATATGATAGCATGGCAAGCTGTAGAATAGGGCATACTCTTTTCGTATTGCGTTAGCTATATCGTAAATGCAAAAGTGGGGAGAAATTATGAAATGATACCAAGATCAATACGCTACATTATCTACTATATCTCTCTCGCTATCCATAAACAACAACTATAGACCTATTAATATACATCTAATACACATATCTCCGCCAAAAATGAATTGTACGAACAGGATAATTGTTAATGTTTACCCAGATGATATCAAAATGTTGTTGCCATGGGCAAAAATTTACCTTTATTTTGCTGACAAGATGCCTCGACGTGGAACTGTTGATTCAGTCATACAGCGAACGTATAGCGCATGTCTAGTATTTTTCTGCCGCGAACAGTTCAAAAATTCAGTTTGATACTGCGAACTTCCATGATCCGCAGAACTGAGGAGCTATAATGAAAATCGTTTCGTTGTTATATTGTACGTGACAAGAGCTCCTAGGCTCGGCTAATAAATACATTTCAGCTATTGCCTTTGGAATTCATATATCTAGTCTAAACAAATGATCACTGAGGTATTCGTGAGGACTGTATTTTCGTGTACAACATTTAGGATGACCAATGCAGCAAGGGCGATATTGGTACAAGCAAATTACTTGTGAATAAACTTTTGCCTTGTAAAAGTGTTAAGTGAGGTAAGTTAAGCATAAATCTATATTTTTGCTAACCAAAAGTAACTAATTTACCGATTTTTTATCGTAGCCGTCGTATGCCAAATCGAGGTGTTTCGTCTTTATCGGAACGGCTGTTGTAAAACAACTTTCAATGATAAGAGCAATGGTAAAGGGAAGCTTACAATGGTCATCAAAATAGAGAAACATGCCGAATAAAAATTCTAGACTCGCTTCGATACACAACGAGTACCATTGTTAACATTAGTACGAACAGCATTTCACGGACTTTCGATTCGATAACACAGTGTCAGATAAGATAAGAGTCTATTTTAGTCACAAAGATATGGGAGCGGAAACATACGTGAACGAATATGTTGAAGCATAGACATCTTTGGATAACCGGCGGCAGAATTTGAGTTCAGAAATAAATCTGGAAATGTTTTAGGAAAGATTTGGAAGCGTTGGTTTCCACAGTTCATCACGGGCAACCCACGTGAGGTATGGGCACGTTCATCGGAGGCGTATCGTTGTGCTGAGACGTGCAATACGCTTCTCTATGCTCTCTACTCATCCAAGTAGGTCCAGTGACGCCCGCAGCGATAGGGTATTCAATGCAATAATATCATTACTATATAAATCAACATGAGTATATACGAAAATTTACACAATGTAAGTGACGTTAGCAGCAAAGAGTTACTCAGAAGAGCTGTTTTGTCTGTTTTCAGATCTAATTATCAGCCAATTTCAGTTATCGTGCCTCCAGAAAATCAAGACAAATACATAGGTTCAAATAGTCTTTCCGATGAGGAACTCTTTCGTTACATGGAAAATCACATAGACACCGAAGTGCACACCAAGGATGGTAAAGCGGTCACCGTCAGAAACGTTCTCGACTTCGTCAAAATTCAGATGAACCTAGAGAAGGATACTAATAACTATAACATGTTCATCTATCTTGACGGTATGCTTATGCCAAGGATGCTGAAATTACGCATGAAATTTTGGTGGCAAAAAGCCACACCTCCTGTCTGTGTACTTTTTAGACTAATTACATTTGTCTTCATGCAAAAAAAAAATCAATACCAGTGAGCGGCAAGAAGTTAGGCATACAAAAAGCTCTCGATTGTAAACGTACTATTTAGAATAACCAATCATTTAAAATATATCCATATCAACGTTTACATTGTATGAAGCAAACATTAGTATCCAATCTGATCTGATTTGATTATAGAACCTATTTCTTTGAACTGTACAGATCTGTGCATACTAAAATATCTCAGGAAAATCTTGAAAATTATTTTCAATAAGTATAAGAATTTAGAGGAACAACATAGAAGCATGAAGTTGCAGTTTCCATAATGACATGAAATCTGGAGAGTTTTCCCTCTCCGGTGGAAAGTGTCACTGTTTATAAGACCGTACATCTATAAGCAAGGTTTTCCACTTCAGGGCTGAGCTCGTTGGAATACAATAAATTAGCGCAGCCTCCATGGTACACGAAAAACAGAAAAGTGATCGACGCCGCGTATAATATCCTATACCATCAACTGACAGTTACGTTGCGGCCATTTTATGGATACTACCTCTTAAAAGGGGTAGCCGACAGGATATGCCTTGTTAGAGATGGTAAGTAATGCTTAATAGTAGATAGATAGAGACAACAATATCAGGGAAACTTTTAATCGCCGAAACAATTGCTAATGCGCTTGTCTGTATGCTAGCTAGGAAATAAGGTGCCTCGAATATAGAAATAAGCGTATCAAGTACTTAGAAGACGTAACACTGAAGAATCTATATGAATTAGATCGAAGTGTGCAGTTTACCGAATCTAAAGTCCTACAACGCACCTCTCCTACCATTTACTCCTGTCATACACATACCTATATATACATGTATATATCATAGCGATGTGAATCAATATTCCGATTTGGCAACGATGTCCAACCAGGCATAGGGGTATCACTTGGACAGATTCGTTTACTTGCAGTTTGGCTAGACCGTATCTATCGCCACTCTAATGATGATAACTGATAACAGTACTACGTCGGCATTCTCTCTCGTGTAATTAGTACTTACCATAATCTGTCATGGGGAAAATCTAATAGAAATGAAAAAACAACAGCTACAGTTTTATCCGTCGTGTCTATATGGAGCTAGCCCTACAGTATAATTTCATAAAACAAGATATATCGACGCCGACTTCATAGACTGCTGCATGGCTGGACGAAATTTAACCAGCAAAGTATTCGGGAAAAATTTCTTTGAGATAGTAACACTTGTATATGCTATGCGAACTAGACCCTCCTCAAATGCGTCAGGCTTATCTATTACGGAGACGAACACGTAACCTTACGATCGGCAGTCGGGCTTACGAATAAAAAATAGCTTCTTCTAATGCTAACTCTTCAACTAAGGTCGCCAGGCATCCGTGTTTCCTTGCGTTAGTACGTCCATCTTTAATTAGATCGGTCAATCAGATTTTCAGCTAGATACTGCCAACCCAACTCTGTAACGAAGGAATAACCACAACACAGCGAAATTTTGCTAACTGATCGAGAACCAGCTTATGGTGTCTCTTCAATTTAGCAATTATTTTATTGACAGCTTTACTTAGGTGCGCCTTTCTTCCTAGCTTTGTTTACGTACATCTTTATCTACTATATATAATCGTTGGTTACTGGACTTGGTCGGCGAACTTATATTATTAACGATAGCTTCCAGCCAAAATTAGCATTGCCACATTCAAGTAGGTTTTACAGTTCTGGAAGATATTCCTCCCAAAAGGCTTTCATAAGGAACTGCTGCAGCCAGCCTTAGCGAGTATCTCGAAGGAAAAGAGGTTCGACGACTTAACATCCACTTCTATGTCATGTATTTTTCATTTACGTGAACCTTTTTCAACATGTTTCGATGATCTCGCTTTGATGTTCTCTGCCAGGACGCAACTATACGTCACGACATCCATGGCAGTATCTAACTGACAGCCGCAAAGATGAATTACCTTTCTGCTGTACCTCATTCGAAATCGACGTTTATTTTGTTGTTATCGAGCTGAGCGTTGTCTCTCAAGATTTAGCTAGATTCTAACTAAAGCGATACGATCTATTCGAACACATATGATCCATGAATTCATCGTGTCGGCGCAGAGAAAACTCATTCGTAGCGTTTTTCTTCAACCAAGAATCCTTTATGCTTTCATATGCTCTGCTTATATTACATTATAATTGTTTTCAAACTCTGTACAAATATACATCGTCGGTTACTAGAAGCTGCCCAGTGTTCAACCTGTTTAGATTAGAATATTCTACAGGGATTCGTATTCCAGGTCTACTACACTTACTGTTAGCTTGTTTACATCGTACATTACCTAGGCTTGCCCTGAACATGTCTTTGGCTTCTCCAAATACTAAATAAGTTGGTAAACTTTTACGCCCGCCACAAGCCGGAACAGCTTCGGAAACTGCGTGGCCATCTTACCTTGTTGTCTACCGGCAGCGCTTTTCGAAGATAGTTTGTCGTTCGCATTTGAACGGGTCAGATTGTCTTAAGCGCATTACTACAAAAATGTAGCTAAAGGTAACGCAAGCGTCGCAAGGCGTACACGCCTCGGATAGGATAGTTGCTTTCAAATGCCCTGCAAAACGATTATGGGTGATGAAAGTTATCTATTCTACGTGATTAAAAAAACGTTAATAGTAAACTGAACCTAAAACCGCTTCCTTCCACCGCTATATCGACTCCTGCTCAAGAGCTTCCTGCTCGCTTCGAACTTTCGTGACGAAGTCTTTGATAATCTTATCATCGTCTATGGGTTGTATACCACACTTAATATTTGCTAACTTCGCCCGAAGGTACGAGCGCTTTTCTTTCAAGAATTCTTTGGCGTGAAGAGCACCACGTTCTTCAGCTTTGGCTGTCAGCACTACCCGAACCGCCTCTTGCAGCACCTGCGTAATACTCACTGGACCTGATTTTGCCGGCAGCAACATTTTACGAAGGTCTTCGACGCCGGCCGCATGAAGTGAACGGCGTTGCCTTTCAAGTTCCCGACGTACAGTTCGTCTGCCGCCTCGGACGCATGCCGCCCCGTCGGCGGGGTCATTCCCACGAGAGCCTACTACGGCTTGCAGACTACTTTTGGACGTAATACTATTTTGTTGTGTTGTTGTATGTGAGCAGGCTACACATGCTGTCACTGTTGTTGGAAGCACCTTGATACAGGTTTTGGCGGCAAGAGAGACGCTGCGCGAGACTACAACAGGACTGCGTTGCTCCCGGAGGGTCTGGTAGTGCTGGTTGTGTTCATATTGGCTAAGGCCTTTGTTGTTTGTAATGTTTACAACAGGTCCCGTCACAATAGAATTACAAAAATCTCTTGACAATTCTGCTATTGCAGTGCCACACATGTTTATCGCTGTTATCGTTCGATCAGCTTTGACGCGATAAATCATATGGCCCTAAAGACCACACGTGCTGGTTTTCGGGCTTCGTCGTAGAAGGCCTGCTAACGAGTCAACTGTTTTATAAAGACAGCTGCGTGATACTAGATGCTTGCGAGAATCGACCAATTTTGTTTTGATGTAGATTTTTATGCATGCGTTGCCTCCCCCTATTCACGATGATCTATAGGAAATGGATACATCTTCGAAAAATAAAGACATCTTGAATATCTAACAGGGTAGGTGTTGCCTGCTTGGGGAGTTAAACTTTCTTATGTCGGGACCAAATACAGAACGATATAGACTATTGTGTATGTTTTGGCGGCAAATACTGTCGAAGTGAAAAAATAGACTAGGTTCTGCTCGTGCACTATCTATGCAGATTTGTCATAGAGATGCATAGTGGTTAAGAAAGATTAACGTAGGCTACGCCGGTAAATTTTTCCAGCACGCTTGTGCACCCTCGTTCTGCTAAACCTTTGCTTGGATAAGCTCTACTTCCACTTCAAAACAAATTAAAACCTCGTACAAATACAGATGACGCTTCTAGAGTTGGGATGTAAGAGAACGCTTTTTGGCTGGCTTTCACTTCTGCTGCGGCATAATGTGGAATCCAAGAGACCGATGAGGGGAGCTAGAAGTTTTTGTCAGTGTGGATTGGGAATCCGCTGTCGTCGAAAAAGCGCACAGCTTTTTCATCGTCACTTTAGCGCTTACGAAGCCATCTGCAATCGCATTTTTGCATATGGCCTATCACAGTGTAGATGGACATGTTGTGTGTCTACTGATCGAATTTAAACTCTAAGCAGTAACTTATATATTTAGAATATTTAATCATCGAACTGTAGCTAGTGTCTTGGGGAGTCGCACACATATGAAGTACGTTGGCAGGCATGCTTCAGTTTGCATGGCTTTTTTTTAAAATAATACATCGTTATGTGGAAATTCAGATGTCCAATCACCAATAGGTCATATCGAAATCGAATGAAATCACTGTTATAATTGAATAGCTGTAATCAGTTAGTACCCACAATGTAGATGAAGCCCGTTTTGTAGAACCCTAGTGTAGTTAATAGCTAAGTTCTGCGTGTAAACTATCCTATAGAAAGAATGAGTGGGCTCAGTGCGGGAAGAGTTTCGCTAGCCCCTAGTCGACTCATTCGAACGGTTTCGTAAGAATCGCTTTCAGTAAACTTAGCAATGATTTGTGCACAATTCAACCCTGGCGTGATATGCTGGGCTGTGGGGTCGATGAAACCAGAGACAGATCCATGTCTAAACACGTTTGCAATGCGCTATGAATGTGGTTACACAGCGATTGAATGACCAAACAACTAAGTTGAAAAATTAAATAATTTTGCACGACTTCAGGCAAAGCAAAGTTCGGTGAACGAGTGAATTTATTCAGTTTTCACGATTTTTCCGTGTCTGCCGTCCTGACTGCCCTCGATGAATCGTTCCACGAATTTAGACCGCACTTTTTGAGTGCGGTTTTCTTTGAGCTGTACCGAAGGCCCAAAGACGGTAAGATTTTCGGTGTCCTGTTTTTTCTTCTTGTTTTGGAAACGAGTTATTGTTAATAGTTAGTTTGATTCATGGACCCATCGTTTGAGAGACTGATGTACGGGCACATCGCCCAAGATCACGAGAATGGTGATAATGACGATGATATGATCAATCATGTATGCGCCCGACAGAGAATAATACATTGATTACTTATTTTGTTTTATTTTAATTGCTGAATATTACTCCTGTAAAAAATGGTTGTGCATTGATGCGTCTTCATTGGTGAATTAATGCTAACATTGTTTTCAGCCTTTTTTGTTTTATTATCCTTTAATATGTCCAGATGCAGACTTCAATGACCGGAAAAAATCCGCACACAATATTCCTATTAATGATAATGATTCCTTATTATAATGTCATTATTGGCGTGTCAATAATTTTGTTACAACAAAAGAGTGTGGATCTTTCTGGAAAGACAAAAAAAAGTCTGTATCTGGCTTGAAATGATATAGAGCTACACACTTTTACGCTACCATTCGCTGGGAATATCCGTAAAAATCTAATTACAATTCAATCTAATAACAATTAATCATATATGATTACATCGTGAAATGATATCTGCTTGTTCAAACACCAACACTCTGCGTTGTCTGAGATGTCCAGTTATGAAGCCCACTTTTCTGGCACATGAAACTTGCGTTTTTCACGCAGAGGTTGACAAAAGCTAATTTTTTATTTAAAAAAAAAGATCAAGTAGAATGTTTAGGAGCAATGGGAGGCAATTGTGAACCGAGAATGCACCATAATTCAACGCCCCTTTTTCTACCAATAATTTCTATACGAGTTCGATTATTCTCTACGTAGTCCTTACCGTTGTATCTACTAATTGTCGCCAAAGTAGCACGTGCTCGTAACCGGCTTTTTTGTTTAATCGATTAGATTTTACGTCCATTGCACCGACACAAAATTCTGCTAGAATATAGTTGAGTCCTAGAAAGGAGTTATTTTGCAGAATACTAGTCTCAGTATGCAATATTGTATTTCAGTCTGGATAAAACGCTCGGTTCTAGTAAGTGGGCTAGGTAACTATAATCTTTCGATAGCTGCGAAACCAGAGCTGTCCTTCGCCTCCGCTGAGGAGGCATGTCCGGGCCTAGATTATTCTTGCGCTTGCGCGCTAGTTCATATCAATTTCATGCAAACGAATTTCAAAAAGAAATACATAACAGTAGTAATAGTAACGGTATTAGCCGTAATAAAATCTTACCTAAGGTGACCCACACTGTATTAGCGCCATTTGATATTCGTCCACAGATCTTCATTACATGATGGTGTCCTGGAGCGAGGGCCTAGACACGAACGGATCATATGCCTCACGGAAGCCCTTACCGCTCACCTGGAACGGCGGATCCAATCGTGTTAAACTCGATGATTTCTTACCTCGATTGCAAGACAATACATACAGCGACTATATGAAGAAAAACGCTCTCTTGGGCTATACAGGAGAGGACGCTTTCGTGTAAAATGAGCATCATTCATATCGATTTTGATAAAACTAGTTGTTGAGCTGAGCTTTTAAGCACAGCTTGGATAACTATTTTACACGGCTGAGATATTAGATGGAAATCCGTGGAATGAATGGTTTTATCCTATTCCCTAGATTTTACGTGAAAGAAGTTAACTGTGAATTCGTTGGAAACATTTAGATCCATCTGAGGTTGGCTGGCCCCCAAGTCCTTACTCGGGATTAGGAGATATATCATAAAGCTTGTTTTAAATGTTAAAAAAAAAACATAAAAAAATGTTTCGAGTTACTGCTGTTATGCATAAGATCTACCTACAAATTCTACTGCTTCAATGGAAGGATCCTACCTAAAGCAGTGACGAACAGCTGGTCATCGTGCTCTCGAGGATGAACTAATGGTACATAGGTCATAACTATGTTTATGGCCTATTCTTTACAAAATAATTTGAAATGGATATTTTCAAAATACGCATTAACAGATGCATTACACTTAATCTAGATGACTTTGGCAAGAAAAAAAACGGACTCTTTTGCCTTAATTGATGCTAGCAACCAGTATTAATTGTATGTTTAACCATTGGTGATAACGTTAACGCAACTAGTAGACTCAACGTTCCCACCGGCTGATCATATTTTCTTATTAGATGATTAAATCTTTTTTCAACAAAAATTTTACCAATTCTGGGCCTCGCCACTGTGTTAACATTAATATAAAACACCTTGGAAATGTAACTCGATGTGCAATAAAATGTTTCACAATATACAGAATAGATTATTATATGCTGAGGTTGTTTTTATTTCTGTTGCCCTGGGGAATGCTGTGATGTGCGATTTACATTGTTGTAGGGGTTGTTGCCCAAACTGAGGGGATGATTTATGTTCTGGGTCGTCCGAAGGTTATTCCTTCTTATAAAGGCGATCGATTTCTACTCGCACCATAAAAACTTTATCGTTGTTTTCTAATCGTTAAGATGATGCTAATGAAGGTAGATCAGTCTTCACCTGAGAACTTACGTCCTAAGACTATATTTGGAAATTCTGTCAAGACAGAAAACAAATTGTTTACTTTTGGGTTCGTGCGGGCCATTTTTACGCGTACGGTTGCGTACGAGATCTCCAGCGTCACTCTGACATTTTTCCAGATTTGTTATGTATGCACATCGAATCCCCGTCAGCCGTCTGTCACGGATAGACTCGTCTATCCCGATTAATAGTTCCAAAATAGGAGCTGGAAGCTGCGAAACAGATATAATCAATAGCGTATACAGTAGAAGTTAAGGTACGTTTAATTAACGAATTGTCACTGTGACTTTATGCACATCAAACTCAATGTCCTTGCAATCACTAAGAATTATCCTAGCTTTTGGTTGCCGAGACGCGACGACAGTCTCATATGCGAGAAATAGTCAATAATGTAATTGTTTATTGCACGACTCTCAGCCTAGAGAGTTCCCAAGCTTATGGCTGTAAAGTTCCCTTGGACACTACTGTTGAAGACATAACCTTTAAATGTGTGTCCGACAGACAATATTCATGACAACAGCTCCTCACTGCTCTTCCTTTGTCAAAAAAAGTATCTCTGAAATTAACCTACTGCGCATGTTCAGTCTTGAAGACATGATACATTCAGTATCAGCGTATAATACCAGCGTCGTTATCGCTTTAGCCATCGCCCTATGAACAGAGCGAAGTGCACTGCTCTACTTACAATAACCATTCTCGTACTTTTTAACCAAAAAGGAAGCATTTATAGACCAAAAGTCACAGATGCATGTATGTACCATGCGACATTCAATCGTGTTTTGAAGTAAAAAGATTACAACGGGGTTTGTCGTACTAACAGAACGCTGGCGAACAACTGGTTCCATGAATCGAACAACGTCAGTTAAAATGAGAAGCGCCAGTACCATATTTCCCAAGCCTAAGAATATATATTTCACATTAATACGTGCACGTAGAATCTAAGCAGTAATAGTAAGCTGCAATATGGACTAGCAGGAGCTCCGTCAATTAGTAGAAGGTTTAAATTCGCCAGTCCAAATTATTGCCAATTAACAGTTCTTTTTTTTTTTTGTAAATACATTCACTATACATAGTATACTGTATTTCAAAAAAGAAAAACAAACAAATATTTTACAGTACCTATTACATATATATGTATATATAGATATATAAAATCAGGGATTAAATGTATATGAAGCATACTTTGCCGTCCTTTAAGGAAATTGTCAATCTATATATATATGTACATGAATAGAAGCAAAAAATATTTCATACAAGATCATTTTTGGGAACTGCTGGCGTTAATTTTCGATAGGATGACGTAATTTTCCTCCTTAAATGACAACGAGTATGGCATACGTAGATAGAATGAGAAACGCCTAAGTACGTACTAAGGATATCAATGATCTTTTGCTCTCAATCTATGTGTTATTCATGTCTTGTTCCTTGGAAGATACATGGATACTACGCGAAAGCCCTTTTAGTCAAACGAGATCTGAGAACTACAATAGCTCCAAAATGTACTATCGCCCGTTACTAAGCATATGCTCAAACAGAAACCATGATCAGGAACCCTCTCCACCAAAGTCAAAACAATGGCCCACGTGCGCCTAGGCTGGCCGACCGAGAGTTCCATTTCGCATTGCATTCACCAGCTGCAATAAGTTATGCTTGAATACGAATGAAAATACGAATAAACGGAGTGGATTTATCATTGTGTCAGCTACGCAGCTGCTAGTGCTCCAACTTGCCGCAATATAGCTAAACTCACAAAATAGCCTTAGAAAGAGTGAATTAATTAGTGGAATTGATCGGTGTAATTGAAAAACACAGTAACTCTTGAAATGGTGCATAAGTATTTAATAATTATTTGTTGCTTTGACATAGCATTTGCTACCTATTGGTGTACAAGTGTTTTTAGTAATTATAATAATATTATATTGTTACTTATACGTCTGACAGCAGCGAAGTTTTGTTATTTGTAAAATGACTAAGACGACAATAGGGAGGAATGTTCCCGTAACGGCTGCAGCTAAAAAAAAAAAACAGGTCGTAGGCAAACCTGCTTCTGATCCCTATTCGAAGAAAATCATAATTTACTGTCCATACACCTATTTTTTTTTACTAAACCTTTTATTAATAGATCGTGTGTTAATTGAGTGCAAGCTTCTTTCAAAAATAGTTTCACCTAAACTCAACTATGTCGTAACCAAATAAATCATTTGTTTTAACAGGGAAAGTTAAAGAAGAAACAGGCAAACAAGTTTGCTGCCATGAAACGGATGATCAGTCTTTCCGATCAAAGAATGTAAGTCATATTTTACCTCATAGACCACATTGAGCACTTTTATATGGCGCGATGTAGTTTTTATGGGTTTCCGTGTTAATGAAATTAGCCAATGAGCCTGGTTTCTCTTATTAAAAAATGCATATTAATTACATGCAAGAATTGATCGCTTTTATTTTCCTGGGCTTGAATATAATGACTATATGTGCAATCAGTTTATGCATGATTCTTGAATCCAGACATAATAATTGCTCGTACAACTTGTGTGAACAAAGACAGATATTTTATCATAACTGTTTCTTTTCTTTTTCAGAGAAACAGGGTTTTCTTATGAATGATTTTAATACAAAAGGAAAACGACACTGCAATAATCAAAATATTGAAGAATATCCACATTATGGGTAATTTTTTTTGCGTTTTACCATAAGGCAGACTAACAATCGCTAATTTTCTTGCCTTTTAGTAAGGAGAAAGACAGATTCAAGAAACCCAAGAAAGAGAAACCTGACGAGCTCAAAGTGAGGGAAGTGTAAGTATAAAACGAGACCTTACCGTAATGAGCCAATCCAACTTTCGATGTTTTGTTAATGCTTAATAAGTGCTATGTATCGCGCAGTCGGCGTTGAACTAGTGCTTTTGGGTTTTTTACGACAACCTGCCGTATGACAATCTAAATGCAATTAAATAATAATACCGTTCCTCGAGGTTGTTGAAAACACGATTTCTTAATTACGTGGACCTTCACTGGTACACTTGGCTTTTATCGAAGGCAACGTTTAAAACAGATGATTGTCATACGAGAGTTCAATTTTTATGCAGGATTATTTATAATAATGCATTGTGTGTTGCTTCATGTGGTATCTATAGGGCACAATATTCATCCGCACTATACTTCAAATATAACGAACAGCTGGGACCGCCGTATCGCGTGTTAATGGATACGAACTTTATTAATTTCTCAGTGCTTCACAAACTCGACATTGTGCAAGCTATGATGGATTGTCTGTACGCTAAATGTATCCCGTATATCACCGACTGCGTCATGGGCGAATTAGAAAGGTAGAAAATCAAAATATGCTAAATCCAATTACTATAATACAATCATGAAATACGTGCTTTGCTGCACTGATTGTATAACGATATGCTCGATTCTTTTCGGTATGCAGCATTGATAGATTTAATCTAGTATCACTGAGAAACTCTTTGATACCCAACAGTGCAATAAATCCAAGGTTGAGAAATATGAAGGCTGCTGATCGTGGCAAGTGGGCACATATGTCCCACGAACGTAAACTGGACAAAACAATATATGCAAGCGAGGCTAATATGTACCTTATTTTGGCCAGGTTGGGTACGAAGTATCGCGTAGCACTTCGCATTGCTAGAGATCCGCGGTTCGAACGACTAACATGCTCACACAAGGGCATTTACGCGGATGACTGTCTAATCAAACGAATAACAGAGGTAAGGAGTGTATACGTGATTTCGTTTAGTTTTTTTCATTACTCACAATTGTTACATTCTGATTTTTTTAATTTATACAATGTTCGATCAATATTTTTATTGAAAATGTGATTTCTATATTTCCAGCACAAATGCTATATCGTTGGGACGTGCGACAAAGACTTAAAACGGAGAATTCGTAAAATACCTGGAGTGCCGATTATGTACATTGTAGATAAACGCTACACAATTGAACGGATGCCAGATGCATACGGAGCTCCCAAAAACAAATAGGGCATTTCATAAATAAAATACGAGTTTCCTATAGGTGTACCCAAGCTATTTGAACAAAGACAATTTAAACAAAGAAACAGCAAATTTTCGCAAAGAAAGATTCAACGTTGTTAAGATTAATTATTGTGTACATGTACATACGTAAAAAATAATGCGTGTTATGATTTAAACGTTGTAACGATATATAACATAACCAATGAAGGTCTGTGGTTTACATTAAATATGAAATAAATGAGATCAGCCAAAAATAATTCTTAGTTCTGTTTATTCATTTCAGTAATTAGGAAAGTACCCTCACTCGGGCACTTCGATTTGGCTAATTATTGCTTTGTAGGTAGTACATAGGTAGTAGTTTGTAGGAGGTTCCCAATAGCAGCAGAACAGTCGGAATTATAAAGATTTTTACCGTTTGGTCAAAAACATTTCATTCTTTAACAAAACGGTGCCCCGTAAAGAATTGTGTTGTTATTAGCCCCATTGTCGACATAATATAGTTAATTCAAAACTAACGTTCCTAACTAATTTAACCCCATGTTTGTGCCCCATAATTCTTTCTTATACCCTAATGTAATAATGGTAAAACGGCGTCTTTAATTGTAAATAAATAGTTGTGCCGATATAAAAACGGCCATTAATTACATAATGGTGTCGGTTTTTGCATAACACTAATAGAAATAAAAGACCAGGGACAAACATTCTTATTTGGAAATTTGCATCGTTATATAACCCTCAACAACTCTCAAATTAAACGTATTTTTGTTCGGAATATTAATAAAAAAGGAAAATCTGTTCAAAAGTTTTAAACGCTTCTGTAACGTAAAATAACGTCATATTATGAAATGATAAAAAAAATAATACGTAAGACGCACTTATGCTAAATATGGAATCGAACAAATATCCGTACTGAATTAAACATTTTTTTTTCTCCAAATGCAATATAATTCAATGTATGCAGCCGTTTCCCATGGAAAACTGCGTTTTAATAGGCGCATGTTTTGTTTCCTTTTGAGAACTAGAGAAAATGTTGTTAGCAATTAGAACGAATTGCAGCTGACCTTCATACCAGTATATACAGGTGCGGCTGAATTCCCTTCAATGTTATTTAATGGAAGTTTTTCTTAACAACCACTGAAACAAACTATGCATCGAAAGCAATGTCTACTTTTCCGTGACGCAAATAAGAACTCATATTGGATTTTGTACAATGTTTAACAAGAGTCGCAGGCCACGAATAGCTGACGTACTGGTTAAATTTCATACCACAAGCACCCAATTTTAAATTAGAACTTTTTGAAATATACAGAGAGGGGAGGCGTAGAAGTAGGGTTACATTGGGTAACAAGCAAATTTACTTTAATATAGGACAAAAAGTAAGTCCAAAGCTGCATCAAATTTCTTAAATTCTACAAAGATCATTTGTCTCTTATATATTTAGGTCCATAGATGTGTCAAACGTTACAATTGTCCCCACTATGTATGTAAAATATTGCTGAAACGTGTGCTCAATGGTTATGTAATGAAAATGTTTCATAACACCGACTGGCATTACATTTATCTAAAAATGAAAACGGTGCAAAAAAAAATGCATATAGTTAACTTCTCAGCCACAACTCTTTCGTCTGTCGTTTATTATTTGCTTTTGTATGAACGCTAAACGTTTATATGTTCATCAAATCACCAGCCCACATACTGACACGGAATCGTTTGCTGGAATAAAAATCATTTTTCTGGTTCACATGCCTATATCGAGTCGTTTTGTTATGTTTTTTTCATTATTGAAGCAGTACCGTAATGACGATTCGTAAATACAAAGATAATTTTCTTACTGTACATTGTGTCCCTCCCGCGTAACCTGTAGAAGTAGAGAATTCTTCATCTGAGGTGAATTTACACATGTTTTGCTTTTAACAGCTCTGGCATCATCCTAAACGCCATTAATAGACTCGTCTGCCGGCATTGTAACTCACTGCCGTTTCTGCTTTTTACTTGTCGTTAGCAGCAGAAAAATATCTACCGGCGAAGCAGCCTTTCGTTTGCTGTAACAAAGTTCTTACACCAGAGCACACAAATCACATAGTCCGTAAATTCCTTAATTAGCCCTTGAGTGCCGCGTCTGTTAATTTGTGGGTAAGACCCAGCTTGGCAGCGATCTGTCTAGCCTTTTCCAAGGTGGCGTCCTCTGGCTCATTTTCTTTCCAGAGTGTTAGAAGATGATTAGCTTGGGCAACTGGATCATCTTCATGCTGACCTAAAAGAAAACAACATTGTAATACATAACTTCTGATCTTTAGGGGTAAAACATCACTTAATATTGTGGCCAGTCAGAAGACTCAAAAATTGAGTTCCAGGTTTAACTACTACGGTCTTTATTAAGGGCTATAAAGACTACACAATAAAAATGCCAATCCCTTCTTTGCCTTCAAGGTTATCCATACACATATCTATAACCTATAGCTAATATACCGTGCGATTCCAAACAGATTTTTTCATTACGAAAATTTAGCAGAGAAATTTTAGTTTAGATACCATTGTATTATCTCAGAACAGTTGAGTTTATTTTTTAAACATTACTAGCAACTTTATCTTGAAAAAAGGACCGCCTCCAAGTGTTTCCCTCACCTAAATATTTAGGATTTAAAAAACACGAAAAATTAATTACATTTTAACATAAAGTGTTACGTTTTCCTCCTCATAGTTCAACATTGTGTCGCTGCTGTCCTCGGTTAGCACTAGCATTAGACTTACTTTGAACATACTGAAGTTCGTCATCGCTGAGACCCATGTGGGGTACGAGACGGGCGCAATCAGCACCCAGAGCTGCCGCAAGCCGGCTGATCGTACCAGCTGAAAGCGTTGCGTTGCTGCTTCCTTCGGTTGCCGAAGACGCTGCAGCCGACCTTAACATTGCAAGGCGAGTGCGTTTAGGTGGAGGTCCGACCTTTATGGAGTGACCAAAAAATATCAAGTGAATCAGTAATCCAGTACTTGAACGGGCATTCTGCACCAACAATAATTATAAGTTAACCGTTTATTCGTGTTAAAAACTAACCGTTTCCAGCGAGCAAGTATTAATAATTGTTACAAGCGGAAAATAATTCACGGAAATAATTCAATTCAAAACAGATACAAAAACTCTAGTTCCAAAAATTTTCTTTTGAATAAAAAGAAGCACCAACAGGTTATGCCATATCCAGTTAGCAATTGCATGCCTAACTATTCTCAATTAGATAATATAGGATATACATTTACGAAGCCACTTTATACTTGCACCCCTTACTTCTTTGTCATTGTTGTTTATATTCGAGTTGTTCTGGGTACTTCCCCTGCTGTTTCCATCACCATCGACTCCATCGCCATCTTCATCTTCTGGGGCGGCAGAAGTACCCGAAGCCCCTGTTCCAGTGCGCCGGCCAATGTTTCCCGTACTATTATTCACCGTTGATGGCTGGGACGCATTCCCAACTTGTGCGTTACTATCCGCATCTTCATCCTATGTTATCACAAAAAAGAACAGAGGCGGTTGTGATGAAGTAAACGCGTCTGTTTTTGCGGCATAGAAATTTCTCACGCACTATTGTAAAGTAGTAACGGAACTCATTTAAGACTACACTCTGAGCTCCGGGGGGTTAAAAATATATATCAGATTTCATTGGCAAGACCACATGTCTCAGTCGATTAACCAAGCTTAACCAATTAAAGAGTACACAGTTGTAGCATCGGCTGGTTTACATGGCGGTTAGTATCATTTTTGTAAAGTATGATGCTAGGGCACAATCCTCTATAACTAAGAAGTTTTTGTTTTGCATTCAATGTAATATTTCGCATATCCGTTGAATCACATAAGCATATTTAATGTTGATAGATCATGTACACAATTTTACTCAATAAGCCAACTATGACCGTATACTTTATTGTACATGTACGGGCTATTCACAGATATTTCATATTTGGCATGTTCCCAAATAAGGCGTATTGCTCCACATGCTTGTTCTTGATCGCTACGAATCAGTATCTTGCCTTGAGTTTCTGCGCTTGTCCTTGAAATCAATTAATCAATCCCGTGATATTATTTACATGTATGTAGATTTATATAAATGATGTAGTGAAGACAGCCGTGAGAGTCGCCAGAGTGCTGCTTGACATGTGAGAGAGATACCTTCGTGGTCGCTTGCTGCGGTGTTCGCTTCCTTGCCTAACTTAATGTAGGGCGTGGTGCTTTCTTTGTCTGTTCGTCAGTACTACCTTGAAATCATCCTGTGAATTGTCATCCACTTCATCGACTTTTGCGCCTGTTGCCGTTCCATTCGAATTTTCTTTCGAGCCTTCCTTGGTCACGGAGAGATCCTTCGCCAAATAACCCACCTGTGGAATTTCATCGGCAAGTTCAAGGTGACATCGGATATTAATTACTCAATTTTGTGTTGCCGATTGTGTACGTTCGGATGTTCACATGATGTTACTGTTGTTAATCTAATTAATAATAATAATACGCATGCAGTAGAAACAACAATAGGCGCTCAGAGCATTCAACGGCACAGCTTGCGGAAAACAAATGTCCGCTTGTGCTATCCTCATCAACTTCAGTCTGGCCAGCTGTGTCGACCTTTTCGATTTTCCCGTGTTGCGCATTACTGGCGACAGTACCTATCATATTAATCATAAGAGTCGGTTGAATAATGGGACTCAAACCAGCGGTCGCCTTTGTTTGACATGTAATATTTTTTTTTAGAACGTGGCGGCGGCCAAGAAAAAGACATTAAATAGGAACGTCAATAAATTAAGTGGAATAGCTGATGATACGTATTGGCAACAAGAAAACAAACCATTGTATCGAGATAATTCGGTAATGATTTGGCGGGTTGATTTGTCGATGTGAAAAAGTGGAGCGATTTCTGCGACAGAATTCTTAATGCTCTCCAGCCCCAGTTCGGATTACTCGTCAATCTGTGTAAAAACAACATAAATTTCCTTATTATTGAAAACTGCCTATTAAATTCCTATATATATATATATATATATTTTGGATAATTTTCAAAACCGTTTGTAGCAATGCAAAAGTTACTATGTGAACTGAACTAAACGTTCCTACTTGTATTGATCCTCAATGCAAGCTGTGGGATCAGCCTGCGCGATGGCCTCTTCGAAAAATTCTTCCATTGAAGGAACATAGTTGCGCCGTTCGCCACGACAAGCTTCCCAGTTATCCGGACAGATGTTGAATAGACGGGTCAGCTCCGCGCTCCCCATAGATATCTGACCTAGGTTGCGATACATGCCAAAATCGTTTTTCATTAGCGTCGTATACACGTTAACCTTAATAGCAATGCAGGGTTCAAATAGATGCATCTATTATAAAATTATGAAGAATTCACTCAGTTACTCGAATCTTGTCCCTTATTTAACGATAAGTAGCCCGTGGCTACTAACCTTTAGCTAGATGATCTCGAATATCGTCACCAATGGGGCGTTTCCGTCGTACCAATTTACGTTCCGGTGCATCAGCAACGCGGAACGCCGGACAATTGTCGTTTTTCCACGCGTTCCACATTTCTTCGCGAGCCATCATGGAAGCAATTGATCTGCAGTCGAACGATAAAAATTAGGCTTCTTCTTGAGAGAAGGGTATATAAAAAACTGTTACATTTCACATACAGAATAAGACATAAGGATGGGAAACAGCAAGTCGCTTCTATTCATTCATATTGGGCTCTTAGTGTAGTCGGTACATTTTGGCAGACTCCACTCTTATTAGTTGGGTTACCCTAAGAGCCTTTGAACACTTCGCATATATCTACCTTGCGAACTCTTTCCCGTCTGGCGGTGTTTGTTCGAGAAGCTTATAAATCTCTGCTGATTTTTCCCGAACCCATTGAGACTGCTCTTCTGATAAGACCTATAGTAGTAACATGTAGCATAAGCAAAAAGATATGTTAATGTTTCTTAAGATTCCAAGAGCAAAACTAATTTAAAAGGTTAAACATTCTTCTCAACAATTTCAAAACGAATGTTTATATGCTGCAAAATGTATGTAAATTTCAGATTCAACGGAGGTAGCTTCATGTTATTTTGTAAACTTCAGCTTTATATATTATATACTCTATATATATATTCAACTTCAAATTATATATCTAATTCAACTTTTTTGCATGATAAATAGTTAACAGGTGGCCCGATTAATTTATAATAATACTTACTTGGCTCTCTAGCTTAAATCTTACGCTGGCCTTGAGATAGTGAAACATGATTAGGAACTGAATTAGAATATAACGTCTGAAGTTCGAATCAGACAGCTCAAGCTCAAAGAGCTTTTTCGATGTTAAGTATTTGGCAAAATATGCATCTGTAGGCTTGCTTGAAGCGGCATGTTCATCGAGTCGATAGGATGAGAATACCGTGAGAACCTGCAGAAACAAAAAACGAATTGTTCCATGCTTATCTTTAATAAGCATGTAGAACACTTTTTTTTTCAAAATAATTGGGCTGGTTCTAGTTCATCTGTCCAGCCGGTAAATCGTATTGGTTTGACTATTTCAGTATAGTAGTTTTTGTACATAGTTTTGATAAAAAAAAAAATGATGTTTTCGACAATATGCTATCTTGTTTGAATAATCGCCACCCGCTATTGTCTTGACATGCAAAATCAATATATTTGCGTTCGATGTGAGCTCATACCTCTTGGCTACACTTGGTCATTTGCTTCCAGTGGTTGCCATTGTAACAGAGGTTAGGTTGCCGAAAGAACTCTTGCAGACTCCAGAACTTCCGATAGAGGTTTACGCTAACTTTCCCGGACACGCCGATAATGCTGGTAGAATCTTCTGTTGATATTGGTGTGCCTTCCTTCTCCGTAAGGCTGGGCTCTTTGTCGTCCCCTTGATTGGTTAATGGTGATGTTTCTTCTGCACATGCTGACTGGTCGCCTCGAATCGACAGGTGTTCGGTGTTAAATTCGGACACGATGTTTAGGCCAGATCGTTCGGATAGGGGAAACAGCTTAGCAAGCACGATAAGAATCTGGCCACAAAATACCGTATTCTGACTTTTGCTTAATCGTCGCAAGAGATCATTACACATTCTGAGTAGCTGGTTTTTACAGGGTGCAAAGAACGCAGGTCGTTTCCATAACTCGACCCGTTGCTCGACGAGATGGAAAAGTCGCTCGCAGCGGGAAATTGTCAGGGTGTCGAATAGGTCCGTGAACACCGTTGCTATTGAATAAGCCAATAGGGGCATGAACAGCACATTTCGAAAAATGGTCAAAACTTAACTAAAAATATGCTTACATTAGACGTATATATCTATCGTTTAAAGGTATATTCGAGGAGAAAGTGTATTTCTATTTAACTTTTAAATTTATTTTAGAAACATTCATTGATGTGATTTTTGTAACAACAATTGAAACTTATATTTAATGCATGTGAGGATAATTGCCCTAACTTAATGGATGCTACATTAAGCGATTCTTAATTTACCCATCAAATTCTAACAATGCCTTAGCTGTTTTATACTACTTAGTATAGATTTTATTGCATGGATTTTGTAAAAAAAATTGTGATTTTTGGTTAACCATTGTTTATTAGCGTTAGGATATTTGCGGCCAGGCTCAGGACCCCTCGTGTTAATTAAAGATCAGAAACGCTAATGTTTACTAGTACCTCAACAAGGCTGACATAGATATCGTAGCAAAGCACATCACATATGCTAGTCAAACTGTCTCGCACTAGCGCCCAGTGTTTATTTCAAGTGATTTAGCAACAAAAGGTTACAATTCTTCTACGAGCATTAAGCAATGGAATACACCTCTTTTTTTTATATATATATATCGCCTTGTTTCGGTCTTCTATGCATACATAGGATATATACTGATGACCTATGTACTTCACTTACCAGGTAAATTGGGTGAAGCCATCTCTTTTTCACATAAAGCCACCATCAAGTCAACAAATCGGCCCAGAACAGCAGCTTCCAATTTCCGTGAACTTTGGTCAGCATCTTTCACTGATACATTGGCATGCTGTCCATGGGTGTCAAGAAGGTCCCACAGGACGCTTCTCAGGGCTGTATCGGTAGCCCGTGCACCTTCACTGCCTTCGCCAACGCCAGACAACTGAATCTCAGCAATCGGCGTTGAACTTTCAATCCAGCGCCGAAGTTGATCTTCATAGCCGGATCGAGCAACACCATCAATGCTTGTCATAACGAAAGCTATTGGGAATTAGTGAAATTTCTGTCAAATTTCTAACTTCACAACTTCCAGCCACTACCAGGGATACAATAAAACAATATACGGTGTCACTTTAACCTGAAGAAAAGTAAGATGGTTTGAACGCCCGCTTATCTTACATACGGAAAATAAAGGCTAGCGGCAAATCGTTCGACTATGATTTGTTTTCTGGTGGTGTTGTAAGTCACCGGCCACCCTTTGTTTTGTTTACATGCTGATGCCCATTCATAGTGTGCAGCGTCTGCACAGCTGCCATTGTTGCCGGCAGCACTCTCATAGACTTGGTGACGGTACAGTAATAACGTGTTGCTTGCCTAATTAACTTATGAAAACGTAAGGCGTCTAAGTTGTAGGTTGGGCGTAAATACAGCTCATTCAGTTTTGGGGCTAACTGTCCAGAATACTATACAATTAAAGCGGCGGAGTCGAACCTAAAACTCGAAACATTTATCAGACGCGGGCAAAATTCAGTATGTACTTACAACTACACGAGAAGTGGTCGAATGCGACTAGCTAAAAGCCAGGGGTCCCTGGTACGAGCTCTGCCAATGACACATACTACACGACAGGTATGATTAAATAAAACGAACCTACTAGCAATACTGCCCGTAAATGGGCAATTAGATTTTAGAAGTAGCTGGGCACTTAATTACGTCGTTCTTTTATAATCAAATATCATAGGAAACGGAAGCTACTTTAATGCTTTGCCAAAATGAATCAGAAACAACGAGAGGGTAGAGACCGACAACATTAAAAGTAGTTTCGAGTTTGCTTCTAAAAAAATGTAGATGGGCTTAAAAATGTTCGACTATTATGCCGCGATTAGACAAGACTTACCATAGACCTGTTGCTACTCAGGTATTGATTGCAATGATGGTGCGGGCGGTTATCTCAATTAGATTTTATATTGTTTTTATGATATTTTTGAATGAGCTAAATTTCTTCATTACTGCCTACAATTTGTAATCAAATTGATTGAACCTTCAAACAAGCTTATTCCAACTGTACGTATTTATTGCGCCGTATGCATAATCAAGGCCATCCGATTTGCAATGACAGGGCTTTATCCGGGAGTTCTGGAATCGATCGTGGCAGAAGTTTTGGCCATAGGATTACACGATAACACAATCAATAGAGCAATATCAGTTTCAATTGGACGAAACACAAGTTCTGCTCTGTTATAAAAAGCGTTGGAGATGCTGTTTTAGTACATCAAAATTTGATCAACCAATACTGACAAGTACGTGCCAAATTTACCTATATTGCTTTTTTCCGTATTAATTTTTGAACTCAATACGGATCTATTATTGATGTTACCGTTTTATTGCCGTATTTTTTTTTCGCTTCTAGCCTGTACAATCTGGATATGCTATAAGAAAAAAGATTCTATTGTTTGTTTTTCTAAATATCCTTATTCCCTCTCCATATTGCTCTAAACTTGGCGATTATTAACATGCGGTTTAGATAAATATTTAAACAATGTTTAATGTTAAAGCTTATTCTATTTGTAATAGTTTTTTTTACACAAACTTACTATTTTCTGTTTGTAGCTAGTGCAATAACGTACGCCTACCTATGGTAAATGAAAATTTCAGTGCCTATTGACCGACAATAAGTGTACATTTATTAGCCTAAACCAATCATCCATACATTTGTTAATTATCAGCATTTCAATTGCATCAGATACATCAGCTTTACTTTTCTATCTGTCACACTTTTTTTTCGCATGAAGGTAAAGCACATTAGGAAACGGCCCGCGCGACTGTGAATAGCCCTAGATAGAATAAATACAATTTGTAAAAATTGACACGGACGACGATGATATCAACGCCATTCATTCTAATTCATGTGTCAAAAAAGTGCCCAACAAACTTAATTCGATATCTGTTAGGAACAGAAAATTATTAAAACGAAATTTAAAATGGAATGAGTAAGACATTTGCTTTAAATAGATGTAGAGTGTCCTCAGATGTACTCAGCTCATAGACGAAGCTACGACGTCGCAAGGTTTCCTACCCATCGGCTACTGCCTGTCAGTTTCAAGCTGACTCACAAACCATTGGCGTTCCTACATTGTGCTATCCACTCTCGTGGGGTTTAGGACATAAAACATGGTGAGGTATGTATATCTTGCCGCTTTGAGTGAGGTTGCACAATACTGAAATTGAACGCGGTCAAAAACGAGAAACCACCCAGACGCCTTGCGATCTGAAACTATCTAATGATAGTACGTCAGACATTCTGTTTTCATTTCGATCAAGGTTTTACAACCCTTCAATAATAATTAGACACTGTAGTTACGTCACTAAAGTCACATCCATACTTATAATCGCATTATGTTTTCGAAGACATCTGTGGTATATTATACGACATTGATGCATTTCTGGTCTCTAAACGCAACGAATATCCTTAAGATATTTGTCTAATAATGAAAACATCAAGTCATCGGCGCCAAGAAAATTTTTCAGTAAAAAAGAAAATATGTTGGAAGCTCAAAGAGAAGTTATTTAAGTTATTACTAAATAAATTAAAATAGTAAAGTCAAGTAAGCCCATTTTGTCGAGCTATATGAGGTGATCATTAGCGTCACGGCGTGTGGGACTTGCACCTAATCATCAAAAAAAATGATAAAGTACACGAGCAACTTTACGTGGCCTTTGTCAATTCCGGGAACTACCCATACATCGATTCCGAGTCCAATTTCTTCGAGTTATTTTATATATATATATATATATATATATATATTAGGTCGGTCAAAAAGTAACTTCGACAACTTTAAACTTCTGCAAGCTACTGCACTTTTTGTTTACTTATTTGGTTTGCGATTTAACACGATCCCTCTCCAAATTGTACTGTTTTGTCGGCACTTTACATTTCTTATAAGTTCGTAGCATTTTTCTTTGGGATTAAATTGCGGAACCAAAAAAATCTATAGATCCCACAGTCTTGCAATGATCCGACAGCGAAACTTGAGTGTGGTCTGAAAATATGTAAATAAAAACTGGTGCTTTAAAGCTGGAGACCTAGATGTAACTTCTATTGCCTGAAAATTTCGTTCAGTCCTCTCAAGGGCTTTCTTCATAGCAATAAATTAGTCGTTGGACTGTTTTGAACTACCCGAATTCGCTAGAGAAGGTCTAGGTTTTTATGGTGTTTTACATGAACTCATTTAAGCTCCCACCACTAGTGGGTTTAGCATATAAGCGCTAATACGGCAGAAAACTAAGGTTTTTACACATACGAGTGGTATTAGGGTGAAAACAGAATGTCATATGATAATATTAAGCACAAGAGTGAATCGTTGAGTTCCAGGCAATCATCTACAATGACGCGTCAGTAAATTTCGTTTGATCCAAAAAAGGTGCCCTTTGATAAGAGTTAAAAACTGAGGGTAGACTTGGACTTGAAACCTCGGGAGCGACAAATGACTACAAAAAGTACTGACACTCACTTTATATGTCCTAAAAAATTCTACTATATTTTCAACGTAAATGTTTTCGCCTTTGGATTACAGGTCACGGCTTGCTAGATAACACTACAGTTGTTGCACGCAAAACAGCGTGCACCACAAGCTATACAAAAAAAGAAGCAAAAGTCCGAATATTGATCTATAAATTAATTATCTCCAGTCACCTCGTCTTTCCCTGAAAAATGAACTTACTTCCTGAACGACCTAATAGATGTAGACGTAATA